TTCACAGTTTAAGGACCACCCTGATGTATCTACATATTTTTTAACAGACTTCCAAAAAAGGAGGAGGTTATCACTTCGTTTTTTTTGTTTTTTTTGTTTTTATGTATGTTACCGCATAACTTTGGACCACGTCAACCGATTTCGATAATTCTTTTTGCATCGGAAAGGTAGTGTCTCAGAGGTGGTTCTAATCTGGTTAAGATCCGATCAGCGGATCATGAGATATATATATATATTTTTTTTTTATATGAGAGTTGAAGTCGGTTTTTTTTTTTGCTAAAAATTACTTGTTATGTGTTCACATGGGTTTTTGTATTGAAAACCAGCACAATAAAATCATTAACCGCTAACACCACAAAATTACACAGAAAACATTGACAGCGACCGCAACAGCAACACCAAAAGCACACTCATACCTATATGTAAATATGTACGCACACTTGCTGCTTTTACTTTCGTTGCTAACTTCGACAGCGTATGCTGTCAAACGCCATGAAGTATGCTTCTAATTCCTTACCGCACAGCTATTAAAATTTATCAACGGCATCGCTGACAATCCAAAAGCGACATAGTACTAACCGCAAGACACGCCATATTTCTTTTTGCTCCTTACATCGCGTGGGAATTTCGTGTCTCATCTTTTTTGCCTCAGCGCAATAAATATAAAGCCGGAAAAGCGTATATGAAGAATTTCCTTCGCATTTCCCATTTGCTTAGCTATTCCGCTTGCTGTACAAGCTTTCTTCTTCCTTGTCCTCCTTTTTTATTGCAAATTGTGCGCAATATTACTCTTTGCTTTTCTACATACGATATTGCCTACGGGCCACATGCTTTGGCTGTTTTGCCTTTAAAGCTTAATGCTTTAAATTCGTTATTTGAGAATTTTGTTTTTCTTGCTGTTGCTGCTTTTTTACAAAGCAGAGAAAGCGAGGAATATGAAACATGAAAGAAAAATGAAAAAATAAGAAAATCTGCCAAAGACACGGTAAAGGTAGGTAAAGGTAGGCAGGAGGGAATCATTAGGCACACTTAATGTTACAAACCTTGGAAAGCAAGACCCCGATAGAGAGAGTGAGTCTTAGAAATGACTTTTCTATTTTTTAGTTCATCTATTTCTGCGGCTTCCACATTTATGCAAGTAAATTGTGTGCTTCTGTATGTATGCCTATAGATACATTAGGGTGCATAACACATCAAGTTTACTATTTACTTCTGTTAAAATATTTCGAACAAATATGCACATCCTAAAATCTTATTTTATTTTAATGTTGCTAATAACATTTTTTATGCGGACCTTTTAAGCTTGAACTCTTCTATCATGTGAGGTTATTTTTCGGAAAAATATTTTTTAAAGCTAATAGCATTTGTAAAAAATATATTTTCAAATCGGCTCAGCATACATAAATGTTATTCAGAAATATTTTAAAGGAAATATTAAAATTTTATATTTCCGATAAAAAAAACCGCAATTTTGTTTTGGTGAGGCATCCTAATATGCATACATAAATAACTCGCACATAATTTATGTTTTCTCAAGGAAACGAAGGCTCACCACTCTGTATGCATCATATTTGCACTTACGCACTCACACACACACAATTATTCGTATTTCCCTATTTAAATGTATCTAACTATGCTGTTGGCATAAAAGTCTTATATTTATTTGAATTCTTTATATTCTTGGTTTTTATTTCGGTTACTTTGCGGTTTTGCTTGCATAATTGAAATGATTACGTTGAGGTCGCTACCGCCCGTCACTCATACGCCCCGCTGCCAGTCAACCACACAAAATCAAAGAAAAAATCACCACCAAGAAAGCGAAACATTGAATGTGTATAACTGCTTTTCCTTTACTTTTGTTTTCTCAGCAAATAATTGTTTCGATTTCCGCACGAATTTATGTAAGTTAAGAAAAATTCAAATTCAAATTCATTACAGCTCACTTATTCTAAAGACTTTTTCTATAAATGGCATGAAATTTTAACAATGCCTCAAAAAAGCGTTAAGTGAGCGTTCTAAAGCTCTAAGGAGTTGGATATGTGGTAATATGTGAGGCTGTAGAATGATTTCGTCGCAATAGCATTTGAATGAAGTGCCTAGATGAACACCGCCGTGAGGGAGACGCTATTACGGCTTCTATGAATACTTGTGGCCAACAATGATGGTAGATGAAGCACTTGTCGCTTTGAGTAAAATATTAATCGGTTTAAAAGCCAAGGCTGCATGGAGTAATTTGCAATGCCTATCTTTCTTCTGTTTCCTTTATTTTTAATTTCTATTGTTTTTGATACTAGTCGGTAACTGGCCTCGATCCCAGGCCTTGTGAAACGGTATGCGCAATACAACATAGCGGCCGCCTGAATTATTTTCCATAGTCCAAGTTTTTGCGACTGGTTTTTTTATGTCTTATGGAAATATTTGAATTAAGGAGATCGTAGCCAGTATTTACAGAGTTAAAAGTTAAATTTAATTGAGTGGTATGATTTTGTTTTATCAATCTTGTCTTTTTAATAAACCGATTTTTCTTTTAGTTTGAAAAAAGGGCTCCTAAAAATAAAAAATAAAAATGGCGTTTTTCACTAGCTTCCTTTGGGGGTGTATCATTCTTCAATATGACATCAAAGCAAAGCTTCTTCAATGCCTCTTCAAATGGAGGCTTTGCCTGGCTTTCAAAGAAATTTGTTCTATTATATTTCATATACAAATTCTAGAAGAATGTCTCATCGTTAATGCAAAAATGAATTTGGAAATAAATTTTTTTACATATCCCCTACGTTTTTTCTTAGATAAACCCAAGCCACATCAATAGGTATCAGCAGCAGGGTCAAACATTTTGATTTATACAGTTACAAAGATAGGGAACCATTTTCTTCATTTAGCCAAGGTGCTCTGGTTTCATATTCCAGTTGTATAATATACATTTTCTGTTGTTTTCTACTTGTGTTGTTATTCGCCTCCTTTTTTAGTTAATGAAGTTAAGGATGCTAAATTGATTTGTGCTGTTATGATATTAAGAGCTACTTTGCTTTTAAAAAATACCTACTTTAATCCGATAAAAATTTTTGCTGGAAACCAGCTTTGGCCTTGTGATTGATAAAATCTACTAAATATATTTAATTCCAAAATTCAAGCAATTCTGCGAATAAATTCCCATGCATTTGAGCTTCCAGATGTATTAAAACACTTCCTAAATGTATCGGGTTTACTTTTGTTTTTCTTTATATAGGGTATTTATTATGTTTGATAGCTTACGTCTTTTAGCACGATTCAATATCAAATTTGAAGGCAGCTGAAAAAAAGAGTATTTCATATTTACGTATAGGTCATGACTACGATGACCAGCCCTCTAGTATTATACGGGAAAGTCCTCTTCTTTGACCAATTGTTTTGGTAAATTATTTAGTTTATGCAGGACGCCAAATGTCCTGTATTTCTTTTAATGCCCTGTATTTGTCCCGTATTCGGTGTTTTGACGCCTTAAGTTATTATTTTAAGAAAGTAAAACTCTTTTAATAAACAAAAACCATATAACACCAAAATTTCCAACTTAGTGCAAAAAACTATTAAAAATAATTCTGCAATGTTTCACCAAAACTTAAAACTCTTTAATTAGAATCTTAAGAAAAAAATTTGATTTGCAGTTTTGTAACTCATTAAAATCAAGTATAATAGAGTACGAGTGGAAAGTGCTACTCATTTGCTTCTCTTTAAAAAATATGGTCGAACATACTTACTGTGTATGAAAAAAATGTGTAACATCGTCAAAAAAAAAAAAAAAAAAAAAATCCAAAAAANGAATTTTTTTTTTTACAAATTTTACGAGATAAAAATCTCGAGAAAATTATCCTACAAATTTGTGATGTTACTATAAGGATACTGTTTCAGGGCTAATACATTGAAGAAGTTCTTAAGACCTGTAAGCTGTTGTGGAAAAATTTGCAAAATTATTTCTTGTCCCGTATTCGGTTCTTAAAAATATGGTCACCGTAGTCATAACATGCAAAACTTATATCTCAATATTTTTTTTTGGCGTGAAATATTTTTATTTCATTCTTTATCGATAAAAAGAAGAGACCTGTTTTTTATTGTCGAAATTTTGAACTCTAAGAAAAATATATTTTTAAAATTTTTTGCTGTAAATTTCCAAACACTAAACGGTTGAGGAAAAAGACCATAATCCATTATTTTTGCCTTTTTGTTTTAGATATTATCAAATTATTGATAAGCTTCGTGATTTTCAAACTTTTCAAGATTTCCTCTGGATGTTTTTTTTTGATTACTTCCAAATTCTTAGTGTTTTACTTTTCAGGATGACTGAAGGAAAATAAGTAAATGCATTTATTTGAAGTGTTCATTACATTTAAAGTATGTAAATATTATTATGATCGGTATTTAGTGACATATAAAATATATTAGGCACATAAATTATTAAATACTTTAATATTTAGTATTTAATAAATACTATTTTGTCCATCACTGTGTTAAAATAATGCCTTCAAGGAAGTAATCCATAAACGATTCCCAATGTTTCTAGATCCTTCATACATACAGGGTTATTGTTCAGAATAAATATTTATTAATAATAATATTTTGGCTAAGTGTTTGGCCGAGCTCTTTCTCGAATTTGTGGTGTGCGTCCTTAAGTGGTGGTGTGGTGCATCCTGATGTTATTCCGCCTCCGGAAGGCAAATGATTTTCAATGAGAAGCTGTGTTCAAGACAGAAATACACTCGGTGATTTGCCATGGCCTGCCGAGGGAGACCGGTTGTTAGTAAAAAATAATTATTCTAATTTAGATGTTTCTCCTACTAGCGGTCGAACACACATGCTTCGCGGTGGTGGTATGCATCTCTAAATACTCAGCCAGCGCGGATGACATCCCCCTATATTAAAATATTCTGCCCGGGCTTATATTCTCTGTTTCACCATTTGGTGCCCAGATATTTTTTGTTATCTCTAAGGAACAAATTTTAACATTAACATTTCTCTCTTCTTTGCAGTGTCGTCGTTTGCGCCCAACGGGGATGTCCACAGCCAAAAGGCTGGTACTCTCATTACGCGGTCGCAAGCATTCACAAGGCAATACAGCGACATCATCGACGCGTCTTGTGTCGGCTGGTACCTCCCCGGGACATGAGCTGGACGAAATAGCTGTTGTCTCGGGCACCGGAGGTTCCAGCCATCATTTATCCTCGTATAGCGGTATCGGTGCTGATATAAGTAATGGTCCCAGATACTCAACAGGTGAGTGCAAGTAAATAAAAAGAAATATCATATTTTTATGCCAATGAGTAGAGTCTTAAAATAAAAACAAATACCCACAAGTGCACCAAAAAGCCTTTGGCAATGTGATCCACTCAAATTTTGTGCCTGTTCGTGCTTTTTCATTGTTCATTTTCTTGTCTCCCCTCCAGTTGTGCGTTTGTATGTTTAGTAAAATGTGTGCTTCGTAGTAAAAAAAATAAAATTAAAAACCCAGTAGAAATAAAAACAATTTTTTTTGCTAAAAAAAAACTTGTGTAACTTAAGCCTAAGTTTATAAAAACAACCATTATTATCAGCTAATTGAACATATACACAAACACAGTGCAAACTTTAAAAGGTTTTTGCTTTGAGCTATATGCAACTTCTTAAAGCTCTTAGGCTTTGTAAAGGGGAGACTGAGTGTTTTGGTTTAAGATTGAAGTGCTCATTTATAGCAAAGGCAAGTATCTCAACATGGAGTGTGTTCATATTCCCACGACCCGCACTTCTATCTCTAGTTACGCTCGAATACACACACACACATACAAACAAATGAATTAATATTGTACAATCAGGCTGACGAAAATGTCCTTAGGTTTCAAATTACTTTATATTTAGTATGAAAATGGAACAAGCTGTAAGAGTAATTTGGCAAATGTTTGAAGTAACTGTTTTCGTAGCTGTGAAGCTTTCATGCGTTTGTTTCATTATGTGTTGTAGTACATTATAGCAAAGCTCTCTGAATTTGGTATGATGACGAGGAAGGGGAAACTCGTTTAATGTAATGTAAGCAGTTTCGTAGTTACAATAACAGTTAGCTTGTTGTTAAAGTGACGAAGTTTCTGAAATGTTTAGGCTACGGCGATTCGTTGGATATATGATATTTTGCCATGTAATATATTCTAATGGAGTTCTAAGCTGTTAGGTTTTAGTGATGAAGGTAACTAGAAACTTTATTCATACGAAGTAGCAATTTGTTGAATGACTTAAGCAAAAATATGGTAGATTTTTAAAATTGTTGTAACTTGAAAACCTCACAAAAGTCATCAAAGTTAAAATTTTAGAAGGACAGTGTAGAAAAAATGTGCCTAAAAATATGCAACGCAACCAAAAGATATACATATTTTACGTCCCTCACACACCTCAGTTCATATATCACCTTTTATGATTTCTTTTTGCATATTTTAAGGCACAGTTGTTACTGAGTTATACCGAATTTATACTAGGTATTGAAATGAAAAAAAGAGTATGCCATTCAAAAAAATGCCATACGGTAATGAACTTAATGACTATTTTTTTTAATGCCCAACTTTGTCATTTGTAATTTTTGCCATTTAATGCCTTGTGGAAATCCAGCATTAGTGATTTCTCGTGAACAAAATTTTGCATGAGGCATTTTAGAATACCGATCCAAGCTTCAAGCTTCCACCATACATTTTTATGAATAAAAAGTGGAATTTTTCGTGGGCTGGATCCGTTCTCACTGGAGCGTTGCTATGTACGCCTACTTAAGCCCAACAAAACTTATTTAATGCTTTAAGATTAAATGCATTACAAAAATGTAAAGATATAGTGCTTATCATAACTATACGACACCCACATATTTACAAGTTTTGAATTTATTTTTATATTATCTCATATTTATTATTCTTTTTATATAAATATAGTTCGTTCTATAAAAGACGAATATAAATCGAAGTTTCAAGCTTAAAAAAACAAGAAAATTTCATACAAATTTTACATTCTTTATTGAGTAAATTTTAGTAATTTTTTTTTGTTAAGGGCTGTATGCAGTTTTCAAGAAAAACGAAAAATGCATCAAAATTTCTTAAATCAGAATGCAGCTCTCAAGAAAAAATTCTAGCATATTTTTTTCTTCAAGAAAGTTCACAGCAACCTAGAAGTCAACTTTATCTCGACTATGCCATTTTAAATAAAAAAATCTCATATAAAACTCAGAAAATTTAAACTTAAAGTTTTTATTTATAAAACTAGCAAATACCTGGCGTGCTTCACTGCCCCTTAAAAGCTTTTTAATATTACAATATGTAGATTTGAAGAGCTTCAAATAGGTGGCAACCCGCTACAAAAATATTTTCATATTGTATTATTATATCAAACATTTTAAATCAATTTATTAATTTACCAACATTTTACAAAGAGGTGGCAACCCTCCTCTAAAATATTTTCGGCAGTGGACTTTCCTAAACCTCTTAGTTTGATGCCCATATTGCAATATTTAATTTATCTTATCAATTAAATCAAATTAAATTTTCAAACAGGTGGCAATCTCTCACAAAAATATTTTTGGCTGTAAGCCTTCTTAAACCTCTTTCTTTCTTTATTGTAATATTTACTTTATCTTATCAATTTACTTAAACTACAATTTTCAAACGGGTGGCAACTCTCTAATTAGACCTTTAGTACTGCACCGGTAAAAAATTGCAGTACTTCTCGCAAATTTTTCGGAATATTTCGAGATTTTTCGAGACTTTTTGGAGTTTCGGTATTATTTCGGGATACCAAAAATACCAAGTACTTTTGTATGCGATATTTCTTCTAGATGCGGATCCTTAAAGAGTTCCTCTGCTATTTTCATAGAGAAGGTCACAAAATATTTCTCCCTTTCAAATCTCAAGCAGTGTATGTTGTTGCAAAGAAAATGCCAAGCTGTACAACGCATATGATTGAGAATTTAATAGCTGTTTATGAAAGCATACTACATACACATACATACATATGTAAATATCATCCAGTGGTTGCAGCGACAGTTAATATAGACATACCTTACTCAGTTCTAACCGCTCTGCCTTAACATCTTGCACACACTCCCACAACTAACTGTATAACAAATAATATGAACAAAAATATCTTACCTTATATGGCTCAAGAGTTTTGCTTTTAGTGATTTAATTAACTTGTTATTGTTTTTTTTTTTCTGTTTTGCTTTTTTCCTATACTCAGTGTGCACACATGGCCACTAACCTTTTGATTTGCCTTTTATTTAGTTCATTACACGTGGGCGCTTAATTTGGCTCAGCTTAACTTAGGCTGGTATATTATCTTTTTCATTTTACCTCTAATTTTTTCTTATACTCATTCGTACTTTTACTTATTTCAACGAAAATCGCCTACTTATTTTCCATGTAACAATTTTTTTCTTTGTTTTTTTTCTCCTCTTCCATGTGTACTTGCTTTCCTTGCTACCTTTTGTTTCTACTTTGCTGTGTTTTGTCCTTCATTTGCGAACCCATTTTATTTGATAAGGCATTTTTTGTGCTTTCTTATTGTCCTTTACAATGTACATATTTACATAAGTGAACAAGAAAGTCTCTATCAGTTAAGCAGGCAAATGTGTGCCATTTAGAAATCCAATCAAATCACAGACGTATTAAACTCGTACGTTGCCCTTGTCTCGTCCGTACTACTACTATGTATTTTGCAGAACGGGATGTTTTGTGTGTGAAGCAATAGCTGGATTGTTGCGTAGGTTTTGTGTTACCGCAAAGGGAAAACATTTGCAGCTGTACATTTTTTTAATACAGGTTGTTGCGTAATAAAGTTGTATGTAGTTATGTATGTGCGTATATGGATATCTATGCCAGTGTAAATAAAAAGCTTTTAAGAAGTGACTGCTTCGTTTTAAATCAAATATAAAAAACCTAAACAAAATATTGTTTCTTTTTAAATAAGCTTCAAGTCAAAACAGTGTATCTACTCAACGAAACGGGGACATTTTAAGGAGCTTCGAATATGCAGTGAACCGGATTTTTATAAACGAATAAACTGGATTTTCATTCAGTTTCTTTATTTATATAGTATAAAAATTCTTAGTATTTATTTTATTGAAAATGGAACTAGAACATTTTATTAATTTTATATCTGAATACCGTTAGGGGAATTTAACGAAAATCGTTCTCTAGTTTTTTTGTTGTTGTAGCAGCTTAATAAATTCTGTAGAAGTCAGTGAAACGACTTCATATTGTCTTAAATCTCATAGAACGGCAGACTTAAGAAATGGCCAGATCCAATGTATTTTGGCCGTAGGCAGAGGGATTTTAGATGAGCTGATGTGAGTGGGCATATAAAGAGGTGGTTCGTGTCGTCGAAGCATGTTATTCAAATTGGAGTGAACAGTTAAAAGCTCCGCGAGCCTCGAACGGTATTCACATGAGGCGATTTGACAGACAATTTTAGAGGCGATTAGTTGAATCAAAAGTTGGTTTCTCCCCAACTTCATTGGAAGCCATAAGTTGAAAGGCCGTTCACACCAGGCGATTGTTGCTTTCAAATAAAAGTTGCCTGTAAAATCTCCCCATGTAAACACTACTTACGAAGCAACTCGTTTATGATGTGTAGGTGGCGTTGGGCTCCGATAATCGAATTCAATAGGTGAGAGTTGACGAAGGATCAATCAATTTTCGATGAATGGCCTGTATATAATATAAGTAGTATTTTTGTATACTTAGTCTGTGTAGTACAACGCATGGTGTTCTAATGTTTTATTATTCTAATCTAATTAAGATTGTTCATAGTACTCTTCAAAGACTCTTTGACGATCTTCATATTTGTAACAGTCTCAAAGGCCGCTCGATTGTCTGAAAAAGTAACTATAAAGGCGCCCTTCAAACCCTTCACAATGTTTAATGTTCGATTTCGGCCTAAAAGACTGCTCATTGCAATAAAACAGCTAATGCCATGTCCATAAAAATTCTGTCCTCCATCCTCAACCCGTCATTATTAGAGGAATTGATCTAGGATTTCTAAAGGATTTCACCCTCGCCGTAATATCGGCCCAAAACTTAGTCAAGTTGAATATGGAGGCCGACTGGTATACAGAGATCGAATAAATAATAGCGCGATTTCTCGGCCACGTATCTATCATCGAACTCCTAATTTGGAGTTGGGGTGATTTGTAAATTTCATAAAGTCAAACGCCCCTTGAACCTTGAGTCTAGAATTATTAATCGTCCAATCTAGTGACGCCTACTACACTGCCT